TTATTATTTAGATTTCAATATTATTCGAATTTGATATTGGGAAGCTATATGACTCATTTCGTGTAGAAAATATTAGTAACACCTGTGATACAAGCCTGCACACGCCTATAGTATACAAACTGCATACTGTTGACCCAACTAATTACTTTTCCACAATCGTCTGTTTATTTTAAATTGCTGTTCTTTGTTAATTGAATATTGTATTACATTATTAACTTAAGTTTTCGTTCAAATGACAGCTTTTTATCAATATTAATGGCCATTAAGCTAATTAATATTAAATAATAACCAATGTTTAAAATTCCTTGTCGTATATTATGATCGCTATAAAACATTTTCCTCAAATTCAGTATACTAAAAATTATATACTAAATAATATTTTTTAAATCTTAAACTTTGTATAAATATACATTTAAAAAATATTGTTTGAAAATTTGAAAGTTTAGAACATTCAACATAATATTTTATCCCGGCGAATTAGCTAAATTATATCAATTATTGAAAAATTCCTAATAGCTGTATATACATCGTAAATATTATCATTTATAAAATGTATTATTATTACATAATATACTTTAATACGTATTATATCAATGATTTACTAACCGATGTTCATTGTGATTTTCTACGGCTATGAGCAGTAGAATTGTTACATTTTCTAAAAACAACCGAAAACTAAAAATCATGCATGTTTACTTGTTTAATTTTTATAAGTATAAAAATGTGAATATAATATATTCATGAGATAAATAACGATTAATGAGGTACACAATTGGATCGTCAATTGGATTTTCTATTTATAGCTTTATACTTATATAGGTATGTTGTACGTGCGTAATATTTACTCACAAGCTTATCGTCAGTCAGTGATAAATTATTAAGATAAAGAATGAATTATAATACTATTACTTATTAGTTATTGTTGTTATTAGTTATTTGTGTACCCAATACAGTTGACCTGAATGTTTTACGTTGGTGAGATTTAGTGTGACGTGACAATTTTGTGAAAGATAAAATGTGCTGTATTCTCAATAAGGTTGTAACTTATCATTGTACTATATAATTTGATTATCATTAACTATTTAACACTTTAGTCTCTTAGGATAACTTTAACTAATTAGATGTAATCGTTAAAAAGTTATTGCAAAACTGGGTTATAAAAAAATAAATAAAATGTTAAACCGTTTATATTATTTTTATATGACATATCAAATAGAGTACCTACTACCTACACATGTTTTCATATAGATACATTTATTATATAAATGTTAAAATGGGCACTAATTTAGTCTTATTCGCAGGATAGGAACTTCATTAATTAAACATTTATTGAAAAATTGAAAATTCACTTTAAAATGTAATAAGATTTTTATATTCATAAAATATGTTTTTATAGTTTAGTCTAGATATTGTGTATTCTATTTTACTACTATAATGCAAGTACCTATGTCCTCTTCAAAATCAATTATGTATTTTTATGACTAAGCCTTGTTAAATTTATATGATAAACAAGTATGACAATTTAAATGGGATATTTTTATAGCATAATATATTTTTATTATAAAATCTTTATTTATTGTATTTTTTTCGAGAAGTAATGTTTTGGAATATTTTAATATAAATGATTTTCAAAACTAAGAAATCTGAGGAACTTGTTTTGCTCTATAATAAATATAGAGTTTTGAGTGTAACAAGTTACTGTTATGTATATGTTAAATTTGAACTCAATAATAAATCATATAGGAAATGATTTTGAGCAAAGACAGTTTGTCGATATATTTTTAAGGATAATTTATTATACTATCACTATGAGATCAATTTTAAAGGTATTAGAAAATACTTCAAACGCATAACTTTGAATTTAACTTGGATTTTTTTATTGCATATACGACATAAAAATATACATGTTTTTGATTTCAATTTTTAACTATTTTTTTCTACGTTTACGTATAATTTTTATATTTAAAATAACAATCACTTAAATAGGACTTACATTTTTAGGATGGTTAAACATTTTAAATTAGGTAATTCGCAATTACCGCATTTTTCAATGGTTTATCTCAAACAATTAGGTATTATTATAACAATTTATTTAAATTCTAATGATATTTTTTTTATAAATTCGATAAAATTTCGATAACCTTGTAGTTTTAGTAAAAAATTAAGCCAAAATGTCAAATACCGATGGATAACCAAATAAATATCTGAAAATTAAATATTTTAAAAATTAAATTGAGTAAAGTAAATAACAATACATATGATCATTATAAATTGATGAAAATGTTCATATTCCTACAAATAATAACCTTGAAATTTCAAAAAAATAACTTCTTCTTTTTTTATTTATTTAAGAGTATATACAATCTGTTCCCTAAGGAACAATAAGAGTATGTGATATCAGAATTTATTTTTTATATGAGTAGCATGACAGAAAGAGTCAGACTACCCTAAATTTATGTATAAATTTTTTTTTATTTAAATTTTTTATCTTGATACTTTAAGTAAGTCATGATACCAGTTTCTTTTGAGCCTTCTTGAGGATTCTCGGGAATTGTAAGAGTGACAAAGTAAGATATGAGACAGGTGTCCAAAAAAAAAATAAAAAAATATTATTTATTGTTTAAATATTTAAAATTAAAATGCCTATAAATGAAAATTAAGGTTTTGTATTTTTGAAATTTTTGATTACTAAAAAATAATTTTTGAAAAACCTTATTAAATTCTCAAACCCAAGGTGATAAAAATAAAAATGTTTAACTACAAAATAATTTGTCAATTTTTAATACATATTAATAACATTTTAATTCGAATCTAATAACAAGATATTTGCGCAAAAAATTGAATCTTATAGGTACTTACTTCGGGGAGTCAAAAGTAAAAATTTTTCAATATTTTTATTATTTAAGAAAAACTAAAATTTTTATAACCGATTTTTACAAAATTGATTAATTTGTATAAAACTGTTACATATATTAGATATATATCTATTATGAATTTTATTACATATAATGTAATTTAAAAAATATATAGATTTGTTTTAAGATACTACTTATTTATTACCATGAACTTGTTCACACCATTTTATGCCAAAATGGTATTGACTCAATAATTAATAACGCAATAATATAATTTGGTAAAAATTTATATTATTATTATAGTTAAATATTAATAATAAAATAAATGTAGTTAAAAAAAAAAAAAAAATCAAATTAACCTATCATAATGTTAACAGTAAAATAAATTACTTTAATTGAAATGTTACGGATATGAAATGTATTTAGTGATTTAAATCACTTATATTAAATGTATATGTATTTATAGTAAACTTCTTTTTTTAAATGCTCAGATTGTAATTTAAAAAGGATCTTATATTAATTTATTAATCTTTAGGTATTAATAATTTATAAATTTCAAACTACAAAATAATTTAGGTTACTATATTATTTTTATAATCTTGCAAATTTCGTAAAAATTTTAAATCATAAAAAATTGTTGTCTTATATTTTTTATTTAATTTTTTTATTAATTTAGGAATAACTTTTGAAAAACTTAGTATTTCGTCTTCTAACTTTTATTTTCATAAATAAAAATGTTATCTTTTGTGTATCTAATTTTACCCCCTCCTCTAATAGTACTAATTAATTAAATTTTTATCAGGCATCATTCTCAAATTTGATGATTTTATAATTTTTATTGCTCAAATAATGGCGACATTTATAATAAAATAAAAACACACATAATTGTAAAATCAGCACATTCACTGTAGATTGCTATGCTCAGAATCTAATATATAAATTTATCCTATACAGTTTTTTGAAAAAGTTTAGATAGATTATAATAAATCCAAAAACTCGTTAGTTTGAATATAAAATGTATTGTACAATTTATATACCATTTAACAAAAATACACTGTAATAACAATATAAAAGTGGTATATAATAATTAATAATAGTCTATAACGTAATTATTACCTAGGTACTATTAATATAAAATGTGAGTTGTTATAAATGAAATAATAAGAGTAATAACACAAAATGTATATATTGTATAGTAATATATCGTATTATATAAAGAGATAATAAGACATTAAAAAATTTACTATAATTCTACTTTTTCTTTATTTTAATTTATTTTAAATACGATTTAAATCGAATTCTTTTATCGTTGATCATTCTGATAGTACTCTATAATTGAATATAATAAGGCGGAAGTAAAGTGTTTTATAATATGATTAAATCATTTTTAAATTAAAGTTTTCATTACTATCTTATTTCATTTTGAAAGATTGAATCGTAGATATTTATTGTCGTAATTTAACCATCTAACTGTAATGAACATTGAATATTGGATGCTAAAATGGTTTCGATTCACAAACCATTGTAAAAAAAAATTGTTTTTCTAAGTATTTTTTCTCTCATGTATAATTTCTCATCTAAGTGAATAAAATCTATTTTATTGCTCATTATAGCAAGAGATTGTATTGGTTCTAGTCATACACACGAGAGAGGGCAGAAACACCCTTAGGAGAGGGAAGGGTAGGTTAAGTTGACAATAGTACGATTTATCTATGTACGTATATGAAATATATATATATATATAATTTAAAGAAAATAGAGCGAATGGTGATGGCAGGGACGTTGGTGACGCAGGACGAGGAAGTTGTAGTAAGGGATTGGTGGGAGGAAAAGTGTACACTGTACATATCACACGCGGCTGTGTCAGCAGCGACGGCGGCGCGCTTTCACACACAAACACACACACACACACAACACACACACACACACACACACACACACACACACACAAAAGGGGCGCCGGCGTCTGATATCGAGTACAAGCTGCGGCGGCATAGGCGGTTCCACTACGCTACACTATTATAATAGAGGGATGTCAACAAGTAGCTCGGTGGTTCGCCCGAGACGGGCCGAGCTTTGCCGACCGGCCGCCGCCGACGCCGTCTGCGGTATTGATTGTGGAACGGCGCCCGCAGAGCACCCGCACCGGCGTCCGCGGCGTTACGCACTGCACACAAGACTTACACAAACACACACACACACACATACACAAATACACGCACACACACATACTCGCGCGAACGCGCGCGCGCGCCCAAACGCAAACGCGAACGCTAACGCGGCACACGCTTTACACCGCACGCCGACGTACTGTGCTGCACGCAGTAGACACACGGTTCGAACGCCGAACGCGGGACCCCTCGGTTTAACAATTTTTTTTTTTTTAAAAACAAAATTATAATCTAACCACACGTATACACACTTACACACACATACACACACACAACACGCGTACACACGTACACGCATACATATACGGCACACGGCACACGAACACCGCACGACACGATGGCCGCGCCGCTCGTATGTACGCGATTTAGTGACAATTACGAACTTAAAGAAGAACTCGGAAAGTAAGTACCTATACATTATTATATGCACACTCGCCACGACGTCTCAGGTGTTGTACCTGTACGCGCTTATCTCCGGGCAATGTATTTTTTGTACTATTATTTTTTATTACATACATTCATCGCTTTGGAAATCAACAGCGACGATGTGTTATACTATTATATTAACTGTTAATAGCATAGTGTATACGCACCGCAGTGACATAATATTAGTATGCCACAGTAAGTGCTACGCCATAGTACAGATTTCGGTTTTTTTCTTATCCAGATATATTTACCGACACTCTCTTAGGTCTGTAATTTTTTTTTTTCTGCCATCGTTCATCATTTCAGCGTGCAGACTCCCGTGTGTTCTCGCACGAGCCTGTTCGCGTCGATTATTCCTTCGTCATCCGCCGATTGCACGCATGTTACATTATGATTTTATTGTGTATATACGCTATTATTTAGCGTCTGTTCTATTATAACGTGTCATCTGGCCCACCGCAAAACAATAGGAATTCAACCACTCGACGATTACGAATTCCCAATGGTTTATTTCCCGTCTGTGCGTCGGCGGGGACGTAATCCTCGTTTAGGGATTTCGCACATATTCAACGCGAATCGATAAAGCGTCGTCGTCGGTGGTGGCGGCAGCGGCGGCGGCGGCGGCATCTAAGTCTGGCGAATGTTCTACTGCCGCGCATGTGTGTGTGTGTGTTTATTATATACGCGAACTCACAGACACACAGACACACGTAGTATACATGTGTATACCTATAAGGTGAAAGTAAGAGTAATAATATACTTTGTGACCTAGGCGAAAACAAGTTTACGCCGTGTGGCTGTGTGTTGTAGACATCATATATTATAATTTTATATATGTATATACGTATATACATATTATATATGAATTGTGCACATATTTTATACGCTCGCTATCATTGCCCCATACATGTTTTACATGTATTACACGGTTGCAAGGACTGCAGGGATTTGACTGACGAACCGCGGCAGTGCAACAACACGTTTACAAAATTAGATCAGATCATCGGGGCCTCCCTCTCATCCCCTCCCACCAACCAGTCGGCTATACGCACTAGTGTGTGCACACACGTAACATTACAATCACACATTCACTCACAAACACGCACACACACTCACGTAAACCCTCCGTTCTTCCGTCGCTTCCATCGGTTCTGTAACCGCATATCGTATAAATATATATATTTTTATTTATATACGCACACAGTTTATTATATACTGTACATGGCATACGTCATAGATGTTGAATTGTCGTAATGCACGTGCTCATAAATCACGTGCCATTGCTTTTAAGACGGCAGCGCCTCACCGAGATGTGTATTAAAATCGTATATAATATAATGTGTGTAGGTATAATATACGAATTTCATATAGAAGTATAAATGCATAATATAACTGTAATCTTTAGGTATTATAATATTCGGTATTATAATATTCTATATATATATATTATGAAATTATTACTATCACGGGAGGCGCAGTCGATCGACAACTTTGATTTCGGTGCATGCGCAGTGATTGAATGATACCGTTGACATACATATTTTCTATGTCCATACGGTAAATTATTATTAGTTATTATTACTACTATTATCGCGTTGAGTATGATATGTCAAGGATGAAAAATCGGTCCTCCGCACAAAATTGAAGTGAAATCTGTAAAATGTATTTTTTTTATTATTGGCTTTTTGTAATTAATATAGTATGTGTATAACAACCTGCAGATTAATTGTAATATAGTTAATAATTTTATCGAATGTAATAAATATGTAAATGTATTAATCGGTTACGCGATAACGTTTTCGAATAGAATAGAAAAATATGATTAACGTGATTGGGATGAGACGGAAACAAAATATTTTATGTCATGATATATATATATATATATATATATATATAGATTGAGAACGGGAGATAACTGTCGGTAGAGAAAGGGTGGGTGTAGATGCCAATTCGTGTTGCTTGTCATTGGACAACTGGGTGTTGAATTTATCGAACTTCTCTCTCTCTATCTTTCTCACTCTCTCTTTTTCTCTTTTACTAACCGCCCCTTCTCTCTTCTACTCTCTTCATCACGGTTTCCTCCCCCACTTCATTTTTACGCATCTCATCTACCACCACTTTGGATCCTTTCTACGTCTTTATGCAAACACACACTAATATATATTTATATATACTAGTAGTAATATGACTGTGAATTTTAGCAAGCATGCGCCTTTTAATGACCCTTATGACACTATTGCTCTCTGGAGTGGCGCTCTATATAAGTCCTTAACCTTTTGTCGCGCTTATATTATTATTATTATTACTCCATGATTCTGGTATGGATTTTCATTTTTTCCTCTTCTTCTGGTAGTCTGTTCATTTGCGAGCTCACCAACCCACGACTTTGTAGCAACCGCAGGAGCGAATCGATATGCGCCGTGCGCGTAGCGTAATGTGAACCTGATAAGCAGATAGGTTTTTCTTCTCAACATGTAGCAGAAGATGTGTAGTGTAAGCCTCGAGATCATTATAGCTGAATATAGCATATCCTCCTCTCTTTTCTATTTCGGGACAGATTTCCATCGCTGTCAAATATGCAGCCACGATGATTTGAACATAACGCATTGACTTAAATTTCATAAATTTCAGCTCTGTATCAGTGTTTCTCAACTGGCGTGCCGCAAACTTGCTGTAGGTTCACTGCAACCGTGGTATATGCGTGTAGTGTTATTAAGTATTCATTTAAAATTAGGTATATAATATATTAATCAAAAAAAGTAATAATAAACATAAAAATTCCTTTTTTTTTTGCTTCTTATTATTTTATTACTTTAGTGTTCCAACAAACAGTATAGTTTTAAGAAATGCGTCGTGAGCATAAAAAGTTTGAGAACAATTGCTCTATATACTATTTAAAGTAACCAAGCTATACTTACTTTATGGTAGAAAAGTTTTTAAATATTTATCCAATTAATCACTGAAGTCAAAGTTCAGGACTGCCTTATTTCGATTTATGATATTCTTGAGCAAAATAAAAACTAATTTTTGTGTTGATTAGAAAATAGCAATATTTAGAGTTGTAGCAGTTGCATACCTAGAGCCTTTCTTACAGGGTGGGAGGAGCAAAATATATTTTCACCTATTCTTAAAATAGAAAATTACTTAAAAAAGTAACGTCACAGTCACAATAATTTTATTAATAGACACAGGAATTGGGCTATTTTATACTTGTAAAATATAACATTGTAATACATAAAATAAGACATTTTTATTTATTTAAATACTGTATAATACATGTTCAAAATACAAAGTCTAACTTGTGATTTTTCATGTGAGAGAATCTTACAGTGATATAATCAACTGGTATACTGATTTTCTTGTAAATATATTATAATGTAAGCTGTCATAAACGATCCTAACCCATTTTTGAGCGTAGCCATGTTTTTAGTCTACAGCACAAACATAAAACGAAATAGTAAATATAAATAACTAAAAGCTGTAGGTAGTAGGTATTTGATAGATTTTAACCCGGTTCGACCATAGATAACAAAAATATATGTATGTGTTTGATCAAATAATCAATATATTATATTAACTACCTACTTCATGTCTCCGAGAAAAAAATATTTCAAAATAATTATAAAAATACTAAAAACAATTAATAACAATACACACATGTTATATAACCCAGGGGGGAGGGAGAATACCCCCCATAGATATGTCACTGAATTATTGTGGTATGTATTTCATAATTTGTGATGTTATAGCCGTAATATGAAATATGTCAGTTTGTCAGTCTTGTATTATCAAATAGATACGTTTTACTACCAAGTCTAAAAATATGGGTCTTAATCACTTAAAAAATAATATTGTAAAATGCTATGGTCTTAACTATTTCAGTTTAAGAGAGTATTTCTGATTTCGTAATAATTAAAAAAATCATATAATAATGCATATCTGCAAGTATTTAAGTTTATAGGTCTAAATTCATGGGTGAAAAATTCTTAAAAATATCTTAGTCTTAAATTTTAAATTACTTTTTCTCAAAATTATACTTTTTTTATTTTGACAGTCTTGTTTTAGTGGTGCGAATTATATAATGATATATTGAAATTGTGATTATACCATGTACAAGTTTATGTATGAAAAAAATAAAAATATGCATCAACATATCGTATATGATCTAAAACCCAATTCAGGAATTAGGCTATAATAAACAAAGATAGATAATGTTTTGACAAATAATGAATATTTGTATCTAAATATAGGCATATATTGTTATAAAGTATGTATTACATATCATCTCTTATTTTTAATAATTGCAGATTTGAAAGGACTCTCTGTGATTATTGAACTTGATAATCATTCGGCTTATTTTGAATATTAATTTTCTAAGTATCTAGACCTATAACTATTAAATCCTATTTGCACCCATAGTGGAACGATAAGAAAAATTAAACAAATACAAATAATAATAATGATAATAATATTTGTCAATTTTATTTCATTAAATATATGATTTTCTGTTGATACGCAGGTAGATATACCAACGATCAGCTATCATAATTATTGGTGTACTTATTTGCTATAATTTTACCACAACAATAGTCGATGAGGGCCTTATTTTAACTGATTATAGAACCCAAATTTAATCAGTCTGAAATATCTAAATAATTACAATTAACTAATAACGAATATTTGGTTTACTGCAGTTGAAATAAATTAATTTGGTATACCTTTTTATATTTCGTTTCCATTATTTTAATGACTCCGTTCCATTTTCATTATCAAAATATCAAAATAATAAGAATTTGTTGATCTCAGAAACCACCCCTCATATTTTCCTTACACCGCCAATCTGAGTCAAAACATCCTATTTTGAGCGTAACTGCGTATGGGAAAAATTTTTAATATTAGGTCTAGTTTGAGGTGTATTTATATTATGTATTTTATAATGCAAGTCTGACATAATATCGGAAATATTATTTTATGAT